AAAATTAGGAAAACAACAAGGTTAAAGCTGACGCTTCCCGTTTAAGAGGCCAGACGCAACACGTGCCTGAAACACACTTTGTTTAAAAAAAGGCATTCAAAGTCAAAGATTTTTGCACCTGTTTTCCTGAGTGTCACAGGCTGTTTGGCAGCAGGGCGCCTGCATTATGAGCAAATATGTTCCCATTTAAGGCTGAATAATCAAATTTGCCTCACTTCCATCAACGCCAGCGAGAAATGTGAGACGGCGTGATGACTTTTTTAAATAAGGAATTTTAGATAGGCCCACAAAACAGTGATGGACACAATCGAGACGGGGCTGTATAAGAGCGAAGGTACCCTGGGTATTTGGTCATGTGTATTTTGGTCTAAATTTCCAGGGGATATTTTAGATGTTAATAGCCCTGAAGTGGTCTCGGTTTCTTATTTAATTTCTCTCGCCTTCTTTAAATGTAATTCGCCCACAGACTGCGCCGCAAGGCTCTAAACCGCACAGAAACTCTCTCATCATTTCCACAGCAGAATGGAAATGCAAATTGTGCGCACGGGCAATGCCCTTGACAGAACTCACCACTGCACACAATTAACATGAGCACTCTGACAGAAGTTGGTGACGAAATGTGAGGTCACAGCGGCAGCGAGTCAGAAAATGTGCTTCTATTTGTTAGACAATCACACAACAAACACCTCCAAAAAGTGCAGAGGTAAACTCTGGCAAAACACCAATAATGACAACGTAATAATAATGATAATGATCATTCCATAAATTGTTAGCTCTAAACATTTGAGTTTAGATTTTTTTAAGATGTATTTATGAAAAATATATACACTATTGTTCTATGGCAATTTTTACGATGGTTTCTCGTGAAAAAAAATTGTTTTCCATTTTTCCCCTTTCTCTTCTTGTGGTTGTTTTTCCTGCTTAAATTTGACGGGTAGTGCTATTTGTGGGTCTGAAAGAGCAGGATCTGACAGAAAAAATCTACGTAGAGATTTAGCCATCTTGTCACTTGAGAACAGCTGCCTCATAAGGACACAGTGATCTCAAGTGTAACCAACGAGGGGCGCTGTCCGTCTATCAGCCATAACAATTTGACACGGATAGCCCTGCAATGATTGATCTCATCACTCGTGCCCATTTGTGTTTTACCACTATAATTAAAAATAACGGGCAAACTGTATTTTAATATTATATCTGAATATGTCAAATCGAATTGCAGACGTGCATTTATCAGGCTTGTCTAAGAACTGCTTGGGTTTTTTTTTTCTTTTTTTTTTTTTGCAACGAGGCTTTTTATTCTTATATGTATTTTTCTCCACTTTGATTAGTCTAAATTAATTCCAATAAAGAAAAACAAGCTGTGGTAAAGTTGTCTAATTTTTGCCACGTGTGAGGAAATGTAAAAGCCAAGCGTAAAATGAAGATTGAGCTCCAATGGCTGAGCTACAAGCTGCAGGAGATTAAAATAAAGGATGCAGACTTGCCTCCATTTATTTTTTTTTGCAAGCGCAGTAAGTTGAAAATAACATGTAAATTACGAAGTAAATAGATAAATATCGTAATTAGTGCGGAGCAGCCCAAATAAAGTACATCAGAAAATGTTTGCCGAGTTGCTGTAAACAATAAGTGGGCACACATTTGTTTCATTTGGAATGATGAGTAACTGTAGGCGGATTTTATTAATATTTAATCGAAAAGAAGATCACTTTAAAACAACCTATGTGATAAAGCCGTGAGCGAGCTTGCTTGGTGGGTGCTAATAAGATTTCCCTGTTACCCCCCCCCCCCCCCCCCCCTTTTGCCAATCAATCCATTAGGAAACAATGCAGGTGAGCATAATGAAAGTGTTGTCCCAATAAAGTGCATCGATGGACAGCTGGGCAGCGGCCGGATGATTGACTTTGCCTTGACATCTGGGAGGCCCGCTGGCCCCTGGCACGCGCATAGGCTGATGTCGCCATTTACATGCAAATTTAAGGAGATCATGAGGGCCTCACCCGTAAATTCACACAAAAAGAAGACGTCACCCTCAATACGGAGGAGGCTCGTCCCGTCGAGACGGGAGGTCTTCCAAGTCGCCCTGTACATTTTTATTGGGGGAGCACGCGTCCCAAAGACTTTGGTTTGATATCAGCCTTTCGGACGGAGATCTTTTGGGGGCTTTATTCATTGTGGTCAGTGAATTTAAGAGGGAGATAACGGGCCCTGGTGTCGTTTAAACGAGCATTCAGCCTGGCGCGGCGCACAGATGCAAGATATGAGAAACAGTTTGCACTTGTTTCCCTTCTTGTCACCCATCACTTACCTCCAGCACGCTGCTAAGAAACTGATTATTTTTTTATAATTAATTTTTTAAAATATATATATAACCCAGACTATACGGTTGAGCGATGAGAAAACGTTACTAAGATCCTCTAATATGCGCACCGGTGCAAACTTTTCAAGCATGCAAATATTAAAACAAACGGGGATCAACACTTCTTTTATTTTGATGCTAACATTTCACCTAATGATGGAGAGCGCATTTTCCACGGTGTAAGCCCCTCCACGCAGATGATCCCACAGAATGAGCTGAGACGGATTCAGGCTCCGAGTCTCAGTGTGTGCAGCAGCTGACTCCCTCTCTCCACGTCCAGATGGCTCCTGCACACAGATTTGCATTCATTTTCCTTTAATATCTTCTGAAATAGCGGGACAGCTGCATTTGTTGTCAAATACGGTTTAAAACTCCCTTTCAGGACAGCATAGTTACCTACGTGACGGGTGTGGAGATCCATTTTCCCTCTCCAGTCAACAGTATCAGATCTAAGAGGATTTGTCTCAAAGTCTCCTAATTTGATAATCAGATTTAAATCGCCTTGGTGCGTGTAATCAGGGGTTAAGTTCCAATAAGCGACTTGAAACTGTGCAAAAAAAACACAAAAAAGCAGCGCGTTTTCTGTGCAAAAAAGATATTTGCAATCTCAGTGAAACAGACAAAACATTAACCACACGCGTCTCCTCTAAGAGGAAATCAGAATTGTCAGAGCAACCCGTGAAATGCCCACGATATATATATATATGTGTTTTTCATTTGGTTTTGCAAACCGCAACTGCAACTTGTCTTTCTGCCTATGATCCAAAAAGTAAACAACCACAACAACAACAACAAAAAAAGAAACACACCTTCATTTTGTGTCAGAGAAATTTGGCAATAGATTTAGTAAAGGTGAAAGCAACAGCTTATAATTCACTTATCTTTGGCAGCAGCTATTAACCCTCAGCACCAGCTAGATAGATTGCTCAGGATATAGCACACATCTCTCTTCCTCGCACCCTCCCCTCTCTCCCTCCATCCTCTCCCCCTTTTCACCACTAATGAACCGGATTGCTTGCTTGTCCCTCTCGGACAGAGTCGGACATGGAGGCAGTTGGCTCTTTAAAAATGATTAAGATGTTTCTGATTATTACCGATTTTACGGGACGTGCGTGAAATGGGGGAAGACGCGCGGAGCACGCGTTTCCCCAAGTTTGTTTAATGCTTTCAGACACCACTGGCGAAGATTTCTAGTCCACAAAAGAGGTCAGAAGACCTGAATTCATATCCAGTCAATAGAAAAGACAGTTATTTTCTATCTCAGCGAGAAAGGCTCGCTCACCAGTCAAACTTTGTTCATGTTTCATTCCGAGCACAAGAAGTTAAGGAATTCTCTGCCAAGCCCAGCAAAACAATTGCAAGTCAATTATCAGCTCTTTAAATTTTCAATGAAAATTTAATGTAAATTAATGGATTTATAATCACATGTGATCCTCTGAAATCAGCGTTATAATAATTACGTATTAATTACATTCAAATATCGCTCTGCTTATGGTTAGTGTTACAAGAAGAAAATATTTCAATTATGTGAAAAAACATGAGTTGCCATTACTAAAACATGATTTATGGCCTGTATTTTCTCAGATACTGAGATGCTTTCGATACATCAGTGGACAAACAACCCCACCAAGTCAGCCTGTAATAATGCAAGCAAGCATAAACGAATAAATATATCAAACTCTATTCATTTTCTTCCAGTACAATAAAACTAATCACGGAAATTGTGATCATTAGGGCATCTAAAAAAAAAAAAAAAAAAAAGAAGCTATGAATCCTGATACCGAGTTATTATTATGCATTTTCTTTTATTATTTTCCTCCTCATTATGTGTGATGGTTACACCCGGTTGAATTTTCCATATCATTAGAAAAAATCAAACTCACCACATATAGGGCCTAAGCAAGAGGAAAAGTGGAGCGAATGAGTGTTCTCAGGCTGCTGCACTATAGGGCTGTACCGTACAGTGGAGCGCCGCTGCCTGACAGGAAGCGTCAGAGCTCCATATATGGTCAAAACCACGCCCCCTCCGCGTCATATTCTGACAGCGCCTCTCCCGTGGGTTTAGAGTTTTGGCTCCCGGGAAAGATTTCAGTCCTCGGGGAAAGAGGGCTTAGTTTTGCATGTTCCCATCCATCCTGCACGACGCGAAAGGGCCCCTTATCCACCTCTCCTGTGTACGAGGAACACCTCCACTGGTGATCAGCCTTTGCCTGTGTTTGTCTTGTGGAGAAGCAGCAGCACCTTTTTCAGGAGTGGGTTTTTATTCAACGAGAAGTCCTGAAGGTTTTGGATGCGCGGTGCTTCAGGGATGTGGGCACTTTGAGAGCAGCATCACCCACAAACACAAACAACTGCCATCGATTTTTCTGTGAATAGCACAAAAAAAAAAAAAAAAGCCAACAAAAAAAAAGAAAAAGAAAAAGAGCAGAGGAACAATAGCAACACACACAAAAAAAAATCTTGTCTATTGAACAATTCACTTTTCCAGTCTGTGGATACCGCTCTAACTAAGTACAGCACTTTGAGAATTGTTCACATCGGACGGACTGAAGAGGGAGGCAAGACCTGTGGACCGGGTTTTCCCTTGCAAGTCTGAATCGGCTCTCGCTACTTATCCCGAGAAAGACCCCGAAGGATAACGCGCTTGGACGTTTATTTCCCCCCTAATTTCGCAGGAGGCTCTTTTTTCACGCCGATTGTCCTAAATGTTTGGGATTCAGGAAACTATACCACGGGGTGGGACGACGATGAAGGAGGAACCGCTGGGTGGACTGAACTCGGTCCGCTCCTGGATGCACACAGCTGGGGTGGTGGATGCAAACACAGCCGCCCAAAGGTACGCATGCCAAAAAGCATCTGATTTTTCTCACGCATTCCCTCCTCATCATATCGACCTCTCAATCCCCTGAATACTCTGTATCAATTACGGTCTCCCAATAAATGCCCCCCCTTCGGCTTTTTCCCGTCTTTCATTACATCAGATTACCCCCATTATTGTGACAAATCAAGAAATCTCCCCCCGTATACTCAACGCGTGCTCGCGCATCTCCAATGTTTCCATCAGCCTCTACATCATCTCGTATCCCCGGTGTCCGGTGCTTAACCGAGATGGTCTCTTGTTTTCTCCCCGCAGCGGTGTCGGCTTGGCACGGGCACATTACGAAAAGCAGCCCCCTTCCAACCTCAGAAAATCCAATTTTTTCCATTTCGTCCTGGCGCTGTATGACAGACAGGGTCAGCCGGTGGAGATCGAAAGGACAGCTTTTGTGGACTTTGTGGAGAAAGAAAAAGTAAGCGCTGGGGGGTTTTCGAAAAATAAATGCAACCTGCACACATAATCAGCACACGCTATCGAAATTATGTTCTTTGAAATGGCATTGGGTTACTAAGGGGAAGTCACGTGTAATATTGATTTTTTTAAAAACTCAATTCGCTGATGACAGAGAGTCGTTTTCAAGACTAAAGCCGTTTCTTTTCTTAAGCGTGTAGAAAATGCACATAGACTGATATATTCCGACCAGGCAGAGACATGTGCTCATCACGGGAAGTTTCTTTTTATTGACTCTGATTTTCACAAACTGTTGTTTTCTGCAGGAACCAACCAGTGAAAAAACTAACAATGGGATACATTACAAACTACAGTTATTGTACAGTAACGGTGAGTGAAACTGTCATCAATATTTTGCAAACACAAAAAAAAAAACATGAAAATATCATATTAATAATAATAATGATAATAATAATAATACAAATAACAACAACAATGATAATAATAATGATAATAATATTTATAGTAATAATATTATTATTATTAATAATAATAGATCTCTGTGCAATAATCTATCACTACATTTTTCGCCTGTTTGAATTGTTCCACACTCTGGAACTTTTTCCCTGGATCACCTTTTCTTTTTAATTCACTAACTACCATTCATCCAAATTCACAAATGCTCCTGTTTTTTCTCTCCCCAGGCGTCAGAACAGAACAGGATCTTTACATACGGTTAATCGATTCCATGACGAAGCAGGTAAGCTGCTGTTACACTTGTTTCCACGCGCAGTGCAACGTTGCACACGTCCACTCGTGTAAAAAAGCTTTACGCGCCGTGAAAATCGCCACCCCTGAGCTCCACACACCACTCTAAATATGCCTGCAAAATATACAGTTTGTGGCAAAGAATAAAATCAAATTACAGGAGTAATGCGAAGAGACAGCCTCCATTTCAACTGTTTACGTTTGACCCTATCATATTGCACGACTCTAAAGTCAATTTCACTCCGTCAGAGTTGGGTCCCTTTGTAAGCTGTTTGTCCAGCATTAAAGTTTAAACACTACTCCTTCTCCCTATGATCTGATTTGCCTTTTTTCTCGCGAAGAGTCAGAGGTCACGCTCTTAAAAAATCTTCAAAAAAAAATCTGCAGGCGATTTTTACATATGTGCAATTAAATACAGATGGATTTGCTGAAGTGCGTTTCAATCATGTCCCCCCCCAAAAAAAACATTTGAGTGACTTTCAGCTCAGAGTCCACATTAATCAGAGGCAAATTATAATGAGCAAATACTATAATGAGGGAAACGCATCTTGATTTTCGCTCTCCATCCATTTCCCTTTTTCGTTATTAAACAGAGGGTTTAGCCATCGCCTTTTGAATAGAGCCGTGAAGCCTGGACCATGGTCACAGACATTCCTGTGTGACTGATCCGAGTCAATGACGCAGAACAAGCAATTTATGGATTTCTGTTGCTACAGCTGCAAATAGCGACATAAATCAAACCAATATAGATAATCACCCGGTTCCCATAAAAAAAAGAGAAAAAGGGATACAAAGTACAGGGGAGAGGAAAAAAAAAAGCACCAGGTCAAACTAGACAGCTTTTAAAAATAAGACAGTGATGCGACCTGGTTCAGATATGTCACTTTTTTCAAAGTCATTTTCTCCTATTGGCCTGAAGCTAAGTAGGGAAAATAAAACAAATACAAAAGCATTATAAATTGTATTAGTGGCAATAGAAAAAAAAGGCAACGTTAAAAAAAATGAAATTCTGGTGATTTGTTGTATTTTATTAGCGTCATTTTGTGGGGTATTTTGTCAATAACGCGGTGCTTTGCTCACATTTCCACTTGGTGCCGGTTCAGTACGAGGGAGTAAAGTGTCTATCCTTAGAAATGGAAGAAGGAGGGAGGGATTGAGGGAGGGAGAGAAGAGCGGCAGAACTGATAGCTCCACGCCATCTGTTTCAGCCAATGCTCAAAAATTACTCAACCGTACCGCCAGACACCGCTTTTTATCCACAGAAAGATCATTGTTAGCGGCTCAAAATAAACAACAGATTGCCCATTAACACTTTCCCCCAAATATCCCCAGATTATAAGCATATTGATGACACTTCTATTGGATCTCTCCTTCTGAAAATCTCTCTGTCTGTCTGTTGGAGCTACAGGATATTATGAGATTAATCAAAGAAAACACTGTTTAATATTATTTTCATTATTTAAATAATGGCACATTAATCTCCTAATTGTATGTCTTCAATACTGATCTCTCAAAAATGTTTTCTTATATCGTTTGATATAATACATGAGCTATTAATATTAGTAATTTAAAAAAAATAACTGATAGTGTTTTCTTTAGTGTTTTTATTATTTTATATGTCTTGTAATTTTCCTAAGATACAAACCTTGTTTCTTACTAAGCTCTTTGTCTCATCTAATATGTCCTATTATAATGTGTATTTCTGTTCTTATTTAGGGTCCAAAGCAGAAGTTGTGTTTTTCTACTCATATGTCTCACTCAAATGAATATATGTTTAAAAAATGACTGTGTTTTGTTCTCATTTTGTTCAAAAGGCCATAGTTTATGAGGGTCAAGACAAGAATCCAGAAATGTGCAGAGTTCTTCTCACTCATGAAATTATGTGCAGGTAAGCATTACTAATTTATTTTGTTTTATTTCGTACTATGTATAATTTAGTTTCATTAAGCTCTGTCCATTTTGCAGACCATAGCAAAAAGTATAGTCGACCATATACCATTAAGTTTTGACTCTCATGATGTTAAACGCTAATCCAAGGAGATTTCTGGTCCTGAAGCAGCCACACACACACACACACAAATACACTCCCACACACACGTACACACACAGCTGTTGTCATTTCCAACTTTGATATGATGTGATTCAACTTTGATATGAATATGACAGCGAAAATGAAATGAGTGTCTTTTTCACTGAATGGAAATTGAATGTATCATAAACAGCCACTGACAAAGCACATAGGTTATTTTTTCTTTTATTTTGGGGGGGTTTATATTCATGTATAAAGGAGCTGCATGCCAGTATTTAAGCCTGCCAGAGACAATATGTTTTCTGTTATGCATAAAAGCTGCATGCTATGCATGCTTTTTCCTCTTCTTTTTTCTTTTCTGCACAGAGTCATTTCTCGGTTGATCCCACCTGTCAACACTGATCAGCGAGCCTTTTAGTGTCATTTAACCACATAAATCTCAACTGCTCATATTGCGCTACTATTCATCAGTGTCATTGATACTAAAAGGAAAAATGCCTTTTGTTGTTATTGTTGAGCTCAGCATGAGCTTTGTGAACATTGAATTTGGATACTGTCGGTTAACCTCTGCTTTGTTGCACCGGTGCATTGTTCAAGTTACTGGTTGAGAGCAGGAGCAGCATGGGAGCTGAGAATGATTTGTCTTTTTTCATGCATAAACTCATCACTCACGCTCAATTTATACATGCATCCATCACTTATTTGTGACACCCTGAATATGGTTGTGCTCGAGAGGTAATTTTTTTCCTCTTTTCTTTGTCAAGAGGAAGTACATTTCGTTGAATAAAATAACTATCAGACTATCAGATCAGAGCTTATTACCACAGACATATACAAAAAGAAAACTCTTCATATGAAGCATAATATAGTTTTTTTTCAGGCTTGGAAGACAATACTTTTTAATTTCATTTAAAAAAATACTTTTCTGTTACAAAGCGGATCTGTATTATTGCCTCTCGCAACAAGGGACATTCAGATAGCATGTAATTGACTGACAGTAGCTTTGCACAGAATCTTTGTTTTTCTCTGAGCACCATATGGCATATATCAATCTTATTCACATATGTTTTTTATGTTTTCAATTCGGACGGAAGCTAGAGTGATGTATTTGTTTATTTTCACAGTTTTGATTCAAGTCCCAATCAAAGAAGTGAGCGGCAGCTAGCTATAGGCTTAGGGAGGAGATGGTTGAAACATGTGCTGGAAGATAGATTAGTGCTTTTGAGGCCATAATTGATAAATGCCCCGCAGAAATATTGGTTGAGGGTGGCACCTTGCATCTCCCTCAGAAATAGCAGCTTGGCAATTAGAGGTAAACAAAAGCTGAAGCTGTGAAAAGTGACTCCCCTGCCTCCTGGCCCAATCCCCATACCCCTCCCCTCCATCACTAAGCCAAACAACACAACATGTTGTTTTCACCATTTTTATCAGCCATCAGCATCAATGGAATTAGATAGATTGAGTGAGGGAAGTCTCATGGCAATTTTTTTTCTCCTCTTAAATATCAAAACCACTCAGATGCACTCAGCAAATGTAATTTCACTTCTTCTTAGTGAAGTATTTCTTGCTTTTAATTTCTATTTATTTATCTTGCATTTTTTTGCAGCCGATGCTGTGACAAGAAAAGCTGTGGGAACAGGAACGAGACCCCGTCAGACCCGGTGATCATCGACAGGTAGGCTGCGCGCTGTGTGTGTGTGTGTGTGTGAACAGGTAATGAGTAAGTGAATGAGAGAGGACCACGCTGACTAAACGGACCGGTGACTGAGTGGATGAGCAGGCGCACGGATAAGAAAGTGAACAAATTAGATCCCTCCCCGTGCACCGCACGACCCACTTGGGCTGACTTGCATCTTACAGCCCACAGTGTGGGAACAGTGGGTGATTCTGTGTGAGCGGCTGAGGGGCGTCTTTCCCAGGTACCTGTGCACTGGGGGGCGGTCACCACCTGGATAGGGTTTGTTCAATCACAGGTGGTTCAATCACTAGAGGATCGTGCTGGGAATACACCTAATTAGCTTAGGCAACTTTGCATTTATTTGGCTGGCTTCCTGTCTTTGTTTATGACAGTGATGCTCTCACTGTGGATCGTTGTTTTTCACCGACTGTTTCCCTTTCTCAAGTTAGCTGTGAGCTTGATGCCATTAAAGTTAGTTAGGAATAAACATTTAATGCCTGCTGTTTTGTTCTTCAGCTTAAGGGAGGTTACATCTGCCACAATTATATTGCCTTCACCACTTTCTCAAGAGGGACAATAAATAGCCCTCTCTGAGGAACTGGCTTTTTTTTTTTTTCTCACAGCAGTCAGACCTATAGGTATTGGTCAGTGTGAATATGTGTTAGGCAGGAGGATCGGGATATGTGTGCGCATGCATGTTTTGTACGGTGGATATAGAGTTGAGGTAGGGGGTGTAGTCTGAGCGTTGATCTCAATGTTACTCTCACCACGTAGTAGCAGAGGCAGCAATGCTAATGTTTGACTAGCCGGAATCACTGTTTGCTTAGCGGAGAATGCCTGGTATCTGACAGAGGGGACAACTCTCTTATTAGTAATCAAATAGGGCTGAGCAGTTGTTGCTGCCACTCCACTCCAGCGGCTTCTCATGCATCAGGAAGTAGGAGCTGGCTGCCCTGGGAGCCTGGATGGATTACCAGCGCTACTGCTGTCTGAACTCAAAGATACACAGACACACATGAAGATAAACGCAAATGCACACTCCGACGCGGACACAAGTGCAGAAAGACAGACCGACGCTTCCACACACACACACGCACGCATGCATGTGTATGTTGTTTACTATGATGCTGTGGTTAAATCCTTCTATTCTATGTGGTGGTCTAAGTGCTGTGTAAAGAGAGAAGCTGTATCTGATTTCACACCGATTTCTAAAATGCCTTCGTCAGGTGCATTTATTAATGACCGGACGAAAGTGCAAATATAAACATATAACTTGAGATATTTGGCTACTGTGCCGGATTTCCGCCGCTTTGATGTTCGCTTTGTGTTGCCCCGCTGCCTTTTTACTCTTTAGAGTTTCGCACACCATTGTTCTTCAATCTGCCGGACAAAACGTGTAACTTAAGTACAATAAGCAAAATGACTGCATGTAGAATTAAAGTCAAGAAGAAGGGGTGGGAAAAAAAAAAGAACGGGGAGAAAAGAAGCGGATGGATATTGTAAGCTCAACTGGCTCAGGGAGGGCTCAGATTTTCATTGTGACGAGTCTGAATAGGAGTAGAGTATCCCTTTCCTTGCACAATGAGCAGCTCTGTTGAAACACAAAAGCATATGTTCCTCATTAGACCCTCCCATTGTCTCCATGTCGTAACTATGAGCCCGTCAGCTCACCCTAACAGACCCACACAGGTTCCCAGTGTCTGAGGGAGGCTTGCAGAGAGGGGTGCTTGTGAAAGGTCTCAGGGTTTAGCAAGAGTTACGGTCATGACCACAGCGCACCATAGGCCTACTTATTTTAAGATTATTTTGTGCAATTACTTGATTCCTGCAGTGCATATGGTTAAGCTTTCACTTCAGTTTCCATGTTTTACAGCCATTTCTGTTACATCTGTCATTTTCTCATGCACATCATTAGAGACACCTGTGCCGCGGCCGCTGCTGGCAGAAACTGATTATTTCCAATTGAGTAGAACATAGTTGAGTGACATAAACTTTGAGGAGAGGTTTGATTGTTGAATCAGGCACGTTTCATCTGCTTATGATTACAGAGAGAAAACCAGCTAGTGCCGCCACAGTTTTCTAGAGAAACAGTAGCATGAGCGAACCTTAAGAAACAGATTTGGAGTGAATCATTGATGGCGTTCGTTCTCTGTAACATTTTCCCAGATGGTAAGAGGGGAAAGCACACACAGCTAGCTGGCATCTAGCAAGACATTAACTGGCGTTCCCATGGATCTGGCATATCCAACGGAGTTTGGGAAACTTATCATTCCAAATGTGTCCTATTTTCCTGCGGTCAAGCCAGACATCTGTTTACCCTATTTTCTCTCCGAGTTTTGATACAGATTTTCACTGAGATTTTTGAAGAGGAAGGATTCTTTTAAAACGAAGAAAAAAGTCGGTTACATATAGGCCCAACAGCTGTCGCAAAGTTTCAGCTCTGCTTGGTCTTTAAATATTTCAGCACATTACATTTGATGCCCTTGCATTATTCATATTCATTTTTGGATGAAGAAAGGCTCTAGTTTTGTTGCGTTTCAGTGGCTTTACATGCGCTGTGACTTAAGTATTTAGTGTCTTTAAAAAAGGAGGTACATATTTTACAAAAAAAAAAAAAATCTATGCTCTGTCGGAAATGAGAACGACATTCTATCCTGCAACATCGAATCTTAAATAAAAAAATATGTGGTGTGCGCATCAAGTAAATTAATTGACTAACAGTAATTGCAGCATTGTTCCCATGACCATATCACTTTGCAGTTTGAATAAATCCAGCAGTGCTACAGATGTCATGTCTTGAAGTTAATGGCGCTTTAAAGTAGGTGGGAGTGTAGGTTTATTTAGTCAGTAATTTGACTCTTTAGAGTTACAGTGATGCGGCACCCAATATCTGCTTAGATAGCTTTCCCATTTACAGGACATGGAGCGTATATTCAAACATAACTCAATTTACGATGACTATCGTGGTCTAATATCTGTCTTCAGTCCTCTGCATATTGACTTTGTCTTCTCCTGTGTGAAAGATTAGATACATTGCCCAGGCTCACACATGGATTTTGTAATAAGACAGCACATGTTGTTGAAAGATGAGAGAAAGTGACTCATTCTGCCGGTTAGGGTTCAGAGGTTACAGATGTGAACAAACACGAGCGAGACAGACGGACGTGACACCGGTGTGCATGAGAATTCTGATTTTAACACTGGATCGTAGAGTTTAACATCCTGTTTAAATCCGTGCCGCCGTTCACAAATAGTTTGTGAAGTAGACCTAAACATGTCAGCTCCATTTATTCTAGTGGCCACGGCACTCCCTTTCGTTTCCTGTCACAAAGGTCAAAGAGCACTGACCTTTGGAGAACAGCCCAGCCACTGAATAATTCATGACATTGACTTGTTTTTCCCCGTATTTTTCCCCCTTGTCTCCTTCTTTTGGTCAGCACACATGGTAGTGCTGTGGGAGGCTTTTATTCATTTAGCTCATTTATAAAGGGCTCGCCGCACCTGTTTGTGTGTTAATGCAATTAAAATTTGGCCTAATGTAAATTTTGCTTAGCTTTCTGTTATGTCCCTCATTAGCGCGCCTGTATTTTCTAAATGACTTTGCGTTATCGTTCATTTGTGGAACACCTACGAGGTCATTTCCCAGAGTGCACTTGACTTGTTGTCAAGTTGTTTACTAGAAACAAAAGACTTCAGCCTTAGAACGCCTCGCATGCGGTTCCCTCGGCCTTCTAAGAAACAAATCGGAAAATTTGCGTGCTCCCATCTGGTTTTTGCAAAACCGTGATTACCTCCAAAAGCTGAACAAATGCCAGTATTTATAAGGTCAGCCCTTTATGTGGAAATGTGATGTAAATGAGAATCAGCGAAAGGGGACATTAAACAAAATTAAATTCATTGTCTCCTTTAATGTCATTTACATTTTTGGCTAAGCCCTAGACTGTCAAAGAGGATTTCTAAAACCATTTTAATTGCACATCAGCTTTGAAAAAGGGGGTGTGTTTTCACTGAGTGGCTGTCTTGACAACCTGCAAAGAGAAGTCTGTTTATGAAGTACCTAAATGACATGTTTTCATTGCATCTGCAGAGAGGCAATTAAGGTGGCACTCAGAAGGTAGTATTAATCTACCTATTAAGCTCCCACCATACGATTAATAATATAAACCTGTTAACTCGTATAGGAAATGACCTCTTATTATATTTACACATGCTTGCTCACACCTGCAAACACCCAATAACTTGCGGCCTCATAATACATTCGTCTTGGTGTTGTATTTATGGAAGTGTTGGGGATAATTCATGAGACAGATGTGGGTTTCATGTCCGTTGAGAAATGCAAAAATAAACTGGCCACCCCTACCGAAGTCGACAAGATGTTTGAGTGAAGCCTGTCTCCTCCCGAGTCAAAGCAGGAAGAGCAGGAAGTGTTGAGAGCGAAAGCTGTACTTGGCAGCCGTCCTTTGGCTTGCACTTGCCGAAAAATGAAACCCAGACCCTCTCTGCAGCCCCAGAGCCAGAACCTCCTTCCCAGTGCTCCAACATCCAGGATTGGGTAATACTGTTCACTAAGCAAAACATTACCTCAAATTATTCTCGCCCTGTTCTCTATTCCCTCCTCCCTCATGTCGGTTTTATCGCAGTTTGTAAATGTCAAGACACGTACAAAGACGCACAGTATAAATGATATTTTCCAAATTATGCTCACATGTTTGGGTTCACATGAGTGGCGGCTGAATGTAACGTGGTGCCTGATGTTCCCCCGGGACGCCCACCTCACTGGGGTAGGATTCCCCAGTGGCATCAGCTAATGGCAAGACTTGACAACGGCAGAGAAGCCGAGGGTGTTGTGTTTTACTAGCGCTGAGCAGGGGTGATGACTTTAACATGTGTGCGGAGGGAAAGACGGAGATGTTTGTGAGCTCAACGTGTGTGTTTCTGTGTGTGCGCTGCGCTAAAGAGAGAGGTGTGCAGTACGAGAGAGTGGCGCGGGCCAACAGAGCG